CTGACAAGGAGGAATGATTTCTCTGATGGTGATGAACCTGTTGAATTTTTTATTGCAGAGGGCAGTTGAAGCTGAGTCATGAAGTATATTTAAGGCTGAGATAGGCAGATTTGTAATCAGTAAGGGAATCCAGAGTTATAGAGAAAAGGTAGGAAAGTGGAATTGTGGATTACCAGATCAGCCATCATATCACTGAACGGCAAAGCAGATGGGCTGAATGGCCTATACCTGCTCCTACGTTTTAGTCTTATTATGCTCTTAACTTTCAAGGTCATTTAGGCAGGTTAACTGAATGGTGAAGGACGTATCTGTGTAAAAATGAAAGTTTCCTATTTGTTCATGGGATGTGAGTGTCACTGACTAGGCTAGTATTTATTGTCTATCCCTAATTGACCCAAGGGCAGTTTAGAAGTGACAGCCTAGTGGTATTATCAATGGACTATTAATCCAGAGACTCTTAATGTTCTCAGGACCTGGGTTCAAATCCCACCATGACAGATGAACCATAGCATCTCTACAGTGCAGCAGTGATCTGTAATTACCCTCCAAAGAGCATCCCACCCAGACCCACAACCCTGCCTGGGGTTTTACCGTGGCCAATCCATCTAACCTGCATATCTTTGGACTGTGGTGGGGGGGGAAAGCCAAAGTATCCAGAGGAAACCCACGCAGATACAGGGACAATGTGCAAACTCCACACAGACAGTTGCCTGAGGGTGGAATCGAACCCAGGTCCCCGGCACTGTGAGGCAGCAGTGCTAACCACTGGACCACTATGCTGCCTCACGTCAACCAAATTGCTGCGGGTCTGGAGTCATGTGTAAGTCAGACCACTTAAGGATGACAGATTTCCTTCCCTAAAGATCATTAATAAGCCAGATTAGTGTTTATCACAACTAATTAGCCTAGCTTTTTAATTCCAGATTTTTTTTTGAATTCATATTTCACCATCTGCCAGGGTAGGATTCAAACCCTTGACTGCTCTGCATGCACCAACCAACGCAAACTTCTGCTTGCCATCTATTTTAATGCCCCCTCCCACTCCCCTGACGACATGTCTATCCTTGGCCGCCTCCACTCAGAGTGAGGCTGAACATAAACTGGAGGAACAAACCTGATATTTCACCTTGGAAGCTTACAGCAAAATGGCCTTAACAGTGACTTCACCAACTTCAAAATCCCTCCACCCCCAGCCTTGTTCCATGTCCAGCCCTACCCCTCCTGACCTGACCTAACCTGTCCATCCTCCTACTCGCCTATCTGCTCTGCCCTTCCCAAGGACCAATCACAATAACCCCCAACCTGTATCCACCTCTCACCATCTTTCCTACTCTTTGTCCCATTAGACCCATCACGCCCTCCACCTCATTTATTTCTGGACTCCCCTACCCCTCCCCAGTCCTGATGAAGGGTTTCGGCCCAAAACGTATACTTATACCTGTTCCTCAGATGCTTTTCCAGCCTCACATCTATAAACTTCAGAACGTTAGCCTGGTGCTCTGGATTACAATCTAGTGAAATTACCATTAAACCACCACCACCTCTTTTTATTCTGAAAAGTAGAAATGCAGAGCTCTTATTGAATGGTGAGAGGTTAGGAAATGTTAATTTCCAAAGGAACCTGACTGACCTTGTTCATTAGTCATTGTGACCTAAAATACAGACGCAGTAAGCTATTAGGCTAGCTGTCAGTATGTTGGCACTTCTTGGAAGAGGATTTGAGCACAGGACTAAAGATGTCTTGCTTCTTTAACTAAATTTTCACTTTAGTTTTGACTAACAGCCGTTTAAGACAAACAGGAAGCAAATTTGGACCCACCCATTGCCATACAAATGATTTAATTCTCCTTAACTGGATCAGACTACTCACCCTTTGAATACCATCGGGAATGTAATAGGTTATTTTCAAGGTCAGGTCTCTAATAAATCCAGGTAAACTAATGTGCAGAAGTGCCGACTCCATGTTCCCCAGACATTGGTTTTCATTTTTAATTGAATGTGCGGTTTGGTGGCATTCTGGACAAGATGATTCAGGAATTCTGGAACATTCCTTACACAAATCGTGACCACAGTCCAACTTTACTAAGCAACCACCTTTCTTACAGGCACTGCAAGATGTGGTTGATTTGTTTAGTTCTTGCGCATCCAGTCCAATGGCTGGACTTCTGATTTGACTTTGCTGAGAATTTCTCAACAGGTTCCATTCCTGTGATGTTGTCACACTGCTGTTATCATGCTGCTGTGTAGATGCATCTTGCAATCGGTCTCCTGAATCTGTAGCTGTTTCAGAGGCATTTGATCCATCTCTATTTTGTGGGAGCACTGATGTATTAGTGTAAGAAAATACTGGTAACGACTGTGTGCCACTCTCCAGTTTACTGCAATGCAAGCCATCTCCTCTGTTGTGCCAATGACTTTCCTTCACCAGCTTGTTGGCTGTAAACTGGAACTTATCAGGCAGTGCCTTCTTTGCCTTGATTCCCTCTCCCTCTCCAATGTGCTTGATCACCTTCTGACTTTTAGAATCCCCCTGATCATGAAGAAATGGAAAACTGCTGTATTCTTCAAAAGGCTTTGGTGATTTCTTCTGATCTGTAAATGGATTGTGCTCCTGCCTTGAATTTGACCTAGTGCCATTGTTCTCAATTGAATGCTTTTTCAGACTCTCCTCTTCTTCAACACCTGGCTGGGAATTACAGTTCTTTTTGGGATTTCCCACCACCTTCCTGTGACCCAAACTTTCAATAAGTTCTTGATCTGTCTCCAATGAAGAAGGCTGTTTCTCTAGTTTTTCACCTTTTCTCAGGCTGGTCTCATCCATGTGGTGCACTGGAGTCCTACTACCATGAGGACTCTGACCCAATAATGAAGAATATTCTGTAAATTTGCTGGGAACCTTCCCCTCTGTATCTTTGAATGGCTCTGTACCAATGAATGAGTATGGATTAGAAGCTGCTAAGGAGACAACATCTGTCGCGGAGAATGTATCTTTTAACTTGGGTTTAAAAGTTTCTGTAACTTTCATGCAATGTTCATATGTGGCAATAATTTTGAAACCTGTCTGTTCTTTAATGAATTTTACTTTTGGAAAGTTCTTTTTCAGACTACTGTACCACTGATCTACTGTTTTCTGACTGCTGTGCTCAATTCCAAGATCTGCATATGAAAGAAACTGCTGAACCAAATTCTTCATTACCAATGTGTAAAATGACAAAATGTCCTGCTTGGCAGCCGTGGTATTTGCTTTATTCACTGCACTAAGTTTTACAATTGTTATATCTCCCTGCGTCTGCTCATTCACCACAACTTCAGTTTTACTACTAACGTTTCTAATAAAAGAATCATAGATGTCTTTCAGGTATGACCATACAGTTGACTCCACTGGAAACTCTTCAGTGAAGTGCTCTTGTTCGACAGGTTTGCTTTTGGTCATGCCCTGGAAGTTGTTGCTGAAGTCTCTGGAAGGCTTTGGTTTTAGTAATTCTGAAGTGCTACTGGTTCTTCTCAAGAATGGTTTGAATGAATGACCATCTGAACCTTTGGTAGTCAAAGACTGGAGTGTCTGCATGTTGCCTTGCAGGTCTCCCTGATGAAAGAGCGTACCCGCTGATGTTTCAAAGTGATATGGCTTGATAGGACCATGGGTTTTGTTACTTTTGGAGTACTGGAAAAACTTGTCGCCTTTATTTGTACCAACAACGGAAGAGCTTTCGTGTCCCCTGAACAGAATGTTATCACCTGCTTTGTCAGGGCTCTTAAGATCCTTGGACTGAACATTTAATACTGAAAAGTCTTTGACCATCTTGGTAAGAGAGTCTTCCCCTGTTTTTTTAGGTAAAACAAACTCCGCCGTTGCACTTGTTAAGGTTTTGTCAGCTGAAGTAAATATCTGACTGTCACTACTACGGCGCCTCCGTTTTTGCTGAATTTCCGAAATCGAGCGATGTTTGTTATCCTGTTTACTAATCTCGATGCTGTGGCTTGTCAGTAAATTATCAGTTGAACATGTTTGCTCAGGTACCAGAGTCAGGTCATCTTCAGCTGATCTGCTCCCTGTCTTCAAAGGATTGATGTTTTCCCTTAGATCACCAAAGGTTGGAGCCAATTTGTGATCCTTTCTGGCATCTGCCTTTGGGACTCCCACTTGCACAAACACATCATTGCCGTCGAATTCCCGCAGAGATGGTGGTACACTGCTGATACTAGCCTGACCACTTTCTGAATCTCTCCTTGGAGCTGGATGCTTTCCTTTTTGAGATTTTGCTGCAAATTCTTCCTTGCAATCCTGTAAGTACTTCTTAGCCAGACAGCAGTCATCTGACGTGCCTATTAAGTAAAAATAGTTTTCATTTTCATTTAAATTTATTTTAGGGAACTGTACCTGGAGGCTTGCACAGATGGTCTGGAGGAGAGACATATCTGAAGTTATATCCTTCTTGTAAATCTGTTCCTTACGAAGTCTAACCTCAAAGTTCTGGTAGAGTTTAGAAAGTTCTTGATGTGCTTGCAGCATTGATAGCTTGCTGTCCAAACAGTCAGAAGTCTCTTGCAAAATTAAGGTGGTGATGTCTTCACTGGTAATATCCAACACCTTAACGTGGTACTGACAAAGAATATTTTCATAGCTGTCTTTATAAAATTTCTGAATATACTTGTAAATATCCGAATCCATCAATAAAATGTAATCTTCAATATTCCCCATATGTTGCTCTCTGCCACGTTGAAAGTTGATGTCTTTTTTAACATTGTCATTCTCAGAGCCTTGCACACCATTTTTAGTTCGCAAATCTTCTTCCCCCTTGACGCTAGAGTCTACGCTTAATTTCCTAGCAGCTTTTCTGATGCTGTCTGAATGACCCACAGCACTGTTTTCTGATTGATCGTGTTGGAGTTGCTCAGCTTCATAAGAGCTGCTGTTGGTTTGGTTGGGTTTTAAACTGAGCAAATGGTGAATTTCTCCACTTAGTTCCTGTATTTGAGAAAATTTTCCAGCAACGTTGCATTGTTCTGCCTTCTGATCAAAACTAAATTGGACATCACTATATTTCTTCTGCAAGTATTTCATTAATCTTTTTCCACTGAGAAGTTTTCCATAATCTATTGTCATAGAAATATGACAGATGACCTGCAAGAACATTACAAAAAACACATTTATTGCATTCTATGATATGTAATTAGGCCCGAAAAAATGTATCTGCCTATGCTAAATGAAAACTAATGGTAAGAGTGGCTCTTTCTTCAAATGCAATTTGATCAAATGTTATTTCAAAGGAGAATGTCCTTCTTGCCAACAGAATCAAAGGAATATGAAAATGTAAACAGCATTAAAAATGGGAAGTAACACTGACAATATTTACCTCACACAGATAGCATGGGTATTTGTTTGCATGCAAGCCGACCTCAAAAATACCCTCCAGACAAAGGATTTAAATGTCAACTATGAAAGTGAGCTGCCCATTAGCTGTGGATAGTTGTCACCTACGTCAATCCCGAGCACAGTTTGCTTTGTTTGGGTGTGTCCTAACTCTCCCACATCTTCACAACACAGCCCATATTCCCTACTTGATTAATGCAGCCAATTACAAGGGATCAGTGAGTAAAACTTCCATTGCGGGCTGAGAAACTGAAGTTGCCTATTATTGCACAGCTAACGTTCATGGCAATCACTTGCTAATGACTCTGTGTAATGTACAACGTGCCTTGCTGAAAACAGGAATCAACTTCTACACCAAATTTATGCAAAAATATGAATTATCGGCAGAAAAAATGATGGTGCCTCATACACCAGGCCAACTTGTACCCTATGATCAATGGAATGCATACAAACATTATCATAAATGTGAACTGTGCAATATACTCCATGATAGTCATGAATATTTGGAATAAAACTCAATGAATGCCTACTAGTCAATCTCCTGTGGCACGCTGTGTGGTTTTCATGTGCCATGAGTGGTCAGGATATGATGACATAATACAGTTCCTGTTTTAATGTCCTATATCCTGTCCGTAATTTGACAGCTGTGTAATAAATGGCTAGCCAAATTTCCCTCTTCACATAGCATCCTCATTGCCCAAAGTTTGCTAATCGTAGCTCAACCCTTAATATTGCAAAAGAAAAAGGCAGCTGCCAAGAACTATCACAGCCACTCCAAACATAAGACCACAGGAGCAGAATTAGGCCATTCAGCCCACCAAGTCTGCTCTGCCATTCGATCATGGCTAACATGTTTCCCAAATCCATTTTCCTGCCTTCTCCCCATAACCCTTGATCCCCTTACTAATCAAGAATCTATCTTTCTCTCTCTTCAATACGCTCAACTTGGGACCCCCTCCACAGCCTTCTGTTGCAATGAATTCCACAGATTCACTACCCTCTGGCTGACAAAATTCCTCCTCGTTTCAGTTCCAAATGGTTCTCCCTTCACTCTGAGGCTGCAACTGAAAGTGCACTGCTAGCTAACACATTCTAGCTAACTGAGCCAATCGATTCATTTATTTACACTTACATTGGAAAATGCCTATGGCCACACTGCAGTACTTGTGCTGTGAAAGAGGGATATAATTAGCATGACAAATTTCCAGTGGCAGCTTGCATTGTAAATGTGAACACATATAATCAAGGAACCAGTGAGAAGGGATCACAGATGAAATTTTTGATTGATTATATATAGATATAAAATGGCACCCTTTGTGATTTCATTTTATTTCAGCACAGTAGACTGAATTTAGCAAGCAGTCCTAATACAAGATAATTTACAACTAATATCACAATTCAAAACTATTTCCCAACAGCTTGTACAGAAAGCCTCAGCTTCATTTCAAAAGCCACTATGTCACAGAAATCAGAAAATATTAGAGACTATCCTGCTTCTCGTAAACATTTTTGAGTGTATTTGCTATTTATCACCAAATTGCTGTAATAAAAGTGTCACATTTACTGAAAATATATATGATCCCCCTGCTGAACATGTTGCACTCTGCAATCTGTAAGATATGGTGTGAGAATTGACTTTTACAACGGATGCAAGATCTAAACCTCAAATGTTCCTCAAATATGTAAAATAAATGCTGGATTTTGAGAATATTCAAGTAATTCATCAGTTACCTGATCAACTTTGATCTCAGTACAAGCTGATTCTACTTTTAATTTGTAATGCTTCCCAGAAATTAGAAGAACATGATTTTCCACTTGGAGAACCCGTTGAGCCACTAAGAAGGAACAGAGAATATTGGTTATTGTTAATATTACAAGCCTATGCGCATGCTGAAATTGGCAGCTGTTAACTCAACCACAAAATAGGACTCTTCAAGTATTGTCTCTCTCATCCTAGGACCTTTATTTCTTTAACAAAGTCTCACCGCACCCTCCCTCCAAAACCACCAATATTTCAGGAGCAAAGGTGACCCCCACCACCCAGAATTCTTTTGTCTACTACCAACCACCTTCTTAAACCCATTCCCCTCCTTCCCGTCTCTCTGTGTTCAGAGCTAATTGCTATCTTTACCAGCCATTCACTTGCCTCTGTTGCTTCCCTTTATCCCACCAAATCATAACTCTTCCAAGCCTTCGCCACCAATCCAGGCCTGAACAGTTTCTGTCCTGGCCATCTCATGTCCTTTTCAAACTTATCCCATTCACACCTTCTGCACGCTCGATGCAGTTCCAACGTAAAACTCCTGACCACTCAGCTTTCTTTTGAAATCGTGCCAGGAACAAAGGAACAACTTTTTAAAGTAATTTCACAGTGCACAACAAGCAAGGAACAAAATCAGGTTAGGGTCAAAGCTCATGCTATGCATTGTATATTTTCAGAATCAGTTTAAAGACCCACTATGCCCTAACCAGGATCAAATATGATTTGCCTGTTGATTTCATCAAGATTGACACACTGGTTTGCTTCTAGACTATAAAACAATTTTTTAAAATTAGTCTCACAATTCAATATTTGTGATTAAAATTAATCCTTGATGGTGTAAAATGCCTTCTCTCCGCAGATGCATTTTCTCTTGCTTATAAAACAAACACACCCATCAGCTCTCTTTCCTTGCAATCTGCGCCCATTCGCCTTACTTTCCAGGGAATCCATGGCCCAATCAGTAATCGCCAATTCCACTCCTAATGTGTCAATCTGTCCCAGAATTCCACTTTTGAATCGCCCTAATACTGTAACAACAAAAGAAAGTCACAAAACGATGCATTATCTGTCTTCCTTGACCTTTCACTATCACTGAGTCAAAATCCTGGAATTCCTCTCTCAACAGCACTGTGAGTGTTCCTACACATCAATGCAGCATTTCAAGATGGCAGCTCAAAACCATCTCCACAGCAATTAGAGATGGGCAATAAATGCCAGCCAGGTCAGTGATGCATACATCCATGGAAGGAATAGAGAATGTGGTAAATAAGATACAATCTGTCCCAAGACACAGAAGGTCTAACCTACTTTTGTTAACTTGGAACATATACATCCATATTATGAACATTCACCTTGATCTATTTTTGTTCCCTGTTTGTCGTGCACTGTGAACTTCTTCTCCAAAACCTCTCCTGTTATCCATTTAGTGGTATTGCCCTCACCTGATCCCATTCTTACATGCTTGATCATAATCATACTGTCCCCAGCAATGTCTTATCTTCCCAACCCCATGCCATTACCTACAAAGTGTCTTGCGTACTTAATCTTTCTTATTCGTCATACTGCTGCTGCCCAGTTACATCATATGCAGCCAAGCAGACCATCTCCCTCATGTAGGCTGATTACACCCAGATCTTCCATTCTGCCATCCCTTCGTCCAACAGTTCTATCCTCTCTCCAGCCACCATCTCCAGCTGAATCTGACTGTCTGCTACCAGAGCCCTCTACTCAACTCAACCTGCGCTTTTGATCTTATTGTCCACTCCACCACCAGGACTGTCAACCTTCATCGCTGTGATGGGGAGGCAATGGCCTAGTGGTGTTGTCACTGGACTGTTAACTCAGAGACTCAGATAATGCTCTGGGGACCTGGGTTCGAATCCTGCCACAGCAGATGGTGGAATTTGAATTCAATAAATATCTGGAATTAAGAGTCTAACGATGACCATTGCTGATTGTCAGGAAAAATCCATCTGGTTCACTAATGTCCTTTAGGGAAGAAAACTGCCATCCTTACCTGGTCTGGCCTACATGTGACTCCAGACCCACAGCAATGTGGCTGACTCTTAACCGCCCTCTGGGCAATCAGGGATGGGCAATAAATGCTGCCTGGTCAGCGACACCCTCATCCCGGGAATGAATAAAGAAAAAAAAATCTGCCCCTGCATCAGTGTAGCTGCTGCTGAAATCCTAATCTGCACCTTCGTCATCTTCAGACTCAATGACCACCTGGCTAGCTTCAAGACACTACAATAAAAAAGACACAAAAATGTTGCACATTGCCAAATCAGAGGAGGTCATGTGCTGAGAGGATTAGTAGATAGGAACTCTCTACAACTGTAAACTGTAGGAATACAAGACTTATTGTAATAATCACAGGAAAATAATGATTCAGTCACTAATATTGTACCTTATGACATATTGCACAGTATGACAGCAGTCATTTACTTATTTTTTTCAAATATTAGATTATATAAGATCAAAGATACAACATACTACAGTCGCACCAGGCTCACTCGAACCACTGTTAAACATCTAGCTGGTGTATCGTTAAGTTTGTTTTCAAATGTAGCACAATAAGGGATGAAGGAGTGGAAGAAGAGTGAGATGAAGCAGGTGAGAATCATCTACAGCATAAACACCAGTAGTAACTGGTTGGGTCAAATGGCCTGTTTCTGTGCTGTTAGTTTCTATGTAACTGTGCCAGGAACAAAGAATAACTTTTTAAAGTAATTTCGCAGTGCACAAGAAGTAAGGGACAAAACCAGGTTAAGATGAATGCTCATGCTATGCACTGTATATTTTCCAAGTTTCAGAATCAATTTGAAGACACGCTGTACCCCAGGCAGGATCGGATAATGATTTGCTTGTTGTTTTCATCAAAACTGACACACTGGCTTGCTTCCAGGCTATAAAACAATTTTTAAAATTAATCTCACAATTCAATATTTGTGATATAACGTAATCCTAGTTCTCACTGTCTATTTAATTGATGCCATTATGACCAGCCTTTATTGTTTTCAAGCCACCTGGGTGGTTATACTGGTGTATGTTCTGGGCTGTTTGCTATTATGCCAGCCTTGTACTTTTCTTTTAGCAGGGGGCTATTTGTCAAATTACTCGAAGGAATATTGGTGGTTATGTGTGTTACGATTAACAGCAGAATGCAGAGACAGTGAAAGATACTCAAAATCGCTCACACAAAAATTAAACAGAAAATTGCCCTTTAACTCATTTTTTGCCTTCGGTAAAGGTGATAGTTCCTGGGTAAACTGTTCCGTATAACTGACTGGATGAGATTCTGCATGACCCTCGGAGACTCAGGCTTTGTGCCCTTGGCCTGCTCCATCCTGTCTCAGTTTTTCCCTCAGTATGCTGCTCTGAGGCAAGCTCCCACATCGTTTAGACTTTCCCTGTCAGTAGTGCAAGATGTTGGAAAAGTCTGAGACAGCACCAACCCCATTACTTAGAATCAACATTTGTTCCAATAATATTCTACTTATTGTGATTTGAAGTTCTGAAAATTCTTTCATAGGATCATTGGGCACCATTGGTTAGGCCATTACTGTCCGTTTCCAATTGCCTTTGAAAAAGTGGTGAATTCACACGTTAATTTGAATTGTCTGATCATTAAAGTTGAAACTGATGATAAAAGAAACTGTTCTATTAAAATTGCTGAGATAGCTTAGATTAGTGCCCTTAGGTCCTAGTCTCTCCTACAAGTGAAAACATCTTCTCCATTTCAACTCTATCCAGGCCTCTCAGTAATTCTGTAAGTTTCAAAGAGAACCCCCTCATCCATTTAGCACAGACCCAGAGTCCTCAACCACTCCTCACTTATCCACGGGATCATTCTTGTAATCCTCTTCTGACCCCTCTCTCAGGTCAGCATGTCCTTCCTTAGATACAAGGCCCAAAACTACTGATAATATTCCAAATGGGGTCTGACCAGAGCCTGATACAGTCTCAGCAGTACATTTCTGTTCTTGCATTTTAGCCCTCTTGAAATGAGTGCTAACATTGCTTTTGCCTTCCTAACTGCCAAGTGAACCTGCAGGGCAGTATGACCTCAATGAGCAACACATACAAAACCTTCCTCTTGTGGATTGTAGCCTATATATTCAGGTTCAGCTCACTACGGGTTTGTTCGATTCTCTCATCGCTCTTTACTAGAATGTGCTGCTTTACCTTCTGCCTCTTCAAAGACAATGAGAGCAGACGTTGGCGATTCAGATGGGAACAGGATATCGGTGATCTCGCCTCCTCCATTCTTGGACCGTAAAAAATGAATCATGAGTTTATCTTCAAGATTCCGTTTTGAGATACCCGTGGGTAGATCAGACACTTGAATGGTTCTATTCATTGTAAACTGTGAAGAAATCGTTTCGTTAAAACCTGACAGGAATGCTGCAATTCCCTGCATTACAACAGTGGGCACATTTTGCAAAAAAAGCAAATTTGTTTTAACCAGCACCTTATCAATCAACACTCTCATTAAACCAGCAACAATTATATACCCGAAATACCAGAAGTTTACTGTATTACCATGATCTCGTCAATGTTCAAGTAGTCAGTTGTGGGGTGTGAGTGAGAATGCTCTCTGCCAGTTAGTTTCATGTGAGGCAAATTTGCATTATTATTTAAGTGATTTATGCTGTAAATAAAGTATAACAGTATAGCCACTGCATTACATTTCTATTACTTAGAGTGTGTTTTCACATTGATTATGTGGACTTCTTGATCAACTGGAATATTTAATCAACTGGTACACTTCTGGTCCCATAGAAGCCGGTTAATGAAAGGTTTGCTGTACTTAATTAGCTCTTGTGCTATCCCAAAGACATTAAATGTGCTACATCAATGCAAACTTTCTGTCTTTTATACAACATGTATTATGAGTTTTATCAAGCAGGAGAGGGTCAGTGAGGTGGCTCTGATATTTATGCAATCATAGTGATGATTAAACAGTAATTGATGTCACTTTTGGAGAAAGGTTACAGGATCAGTATGTTCTTCATTTATCAGTTGATTTACATGGAAGAACACTAGTTACTATTCAGCAAAGTATAGTAAGCACTGCCAGTAAGTATGATACTGTGTATTAAATGACCATAAAAATTAGAGTTTAATATGACTCATTCAATCACGGGGTCCTTTGAAATATAACTACATAAAAGATGACAAGTCTCCAATATTCACAATGCAGAGGAGGTTTACCGGTATGTTACCAAGGTTGGGAGACTCAGTTATGAGGTAAAATTGGAAAAGTTAGTAAAGTTCCTCTTGAGATAGGGAAGGTTAAGAGGTAACAAAAAAGACTTTCAGGATAAAAGGTTTTGATAGAGTAGAGAAAAATATTCTCTCTCTGGTGAGTGAGTCAATATGCAGGAGTCATAACCTTAAAATCAAAGGCGAAATATCTAGAGGGGAGATGAGAATTATTTTCACTCGAGAATTGCCACAATCCAGAATGCTCTGTGTGAAATGAGTATGAAAACTAATTCCATAAAGAATTCTTAAAGGGATTTGGACAGTATGTGAGGATGAGTGACTCAGTGGGTTACAAGGGCATGTGGGATTAAGCATAACATCTCTTTAAAAGGGATAGGACTGGATAAGTGGTTTCCTGTTCTGTGAGTTTCTTTGATTGTAAATACAACGGCTACTACAATGACCCTGACATTTCAGGTTCTCCTTCCGGTTTTACATTGGTATTTTGAGATGCGATCAAGCCTATTATATTTGGCAGACTTGTTCCGAAAGGACCCTATATGAAAAATAAGAATAAGGACAATGATGAAATATACAGCAGGCTGACCAACAGCTGACTACTAACGCATATAAATGAAGGCTCTCTACTGCAAACAACCACCTCTTTTTGATATAGAGATAGTAGGAACAGCCGATGCTGGAGAATCTGAGATAACAAGGTGTAGAGCTAGATGAACACAGCAGGCCAAGCACCATCAGAGGAGCAGGAAAGCTGACATTTCGGGTCTGGACCCTTCTTCAGAAACCCGAAACGTCAGCTTTCCTGCTCCTCTGATGCTGCTTGGCCTGCTGTGTTCATCTAGCTCTACACCTTGTTACCTCTTTTTGATATGTTCTTTTACTGGTAGTTTTAATTATCTATTTGTCTCTGGTTTTAAATCAGCTTTGTACAGTTTAATAGCTGAAAAACCTTGTCAACTGCTGTAGACAATAACTGTTAAAACTGTTGCACGTGAAAATGATACCAAGCTTCGCTTTTCCATACTGATTCTCAGGCTTTAGGCATTGTTGGTATTTATGGACCTTCCCTAGTTGCCTGACTATATTGTTTGCTTGACTTCTCCAGAGGGCATTGGTGTACATCTGAATCACAAGTAGACCAGACTGGGTGAGAGTGGCAGATTTCCTTCCCTGATGGACATTACTGAACCAGTTGGGTTTGCACAACAATCTGACAAGACTCATGTTACTAACACCAGCCTTTACTCTGCCACCTTTTTAAAACAGAGTTCAAATTGATGTGAAGGGATACCAATTCATGTTGTGGAGTATCAATCCAAGCTTTTGAATTATGTAGTGTAACAGGACGCAGACTAAGCTACTGCATCCACATCTCATCTTCCTCTTAGGCAGACATTCTTCCATTGCAAAGTTGTGAGTCCTGAGGTGACTGGATCCACACACCCTGCCAGAGGTGGGGTAGGCAGTGTTTGAAGAGGCAGGTGGGTAGGAGGCTTGGGTTTCTACACACTCCTTCAGCTGTTTGTGCCTGGCCTCCACCTGGGCCCGTCAGACATGCTCAAAATGGACAGCCCCTCATGAGGAAGCTCAGAGTGCAGAGTTTACTTTGGGAATCTTGTGCCAGGGATGGAGTCAATACCACCCAACCAGCACAGCTGATCAACTGTAGTCAGCATCTCAATACTGGGGACATTGGTTTGAGAGAGGACAGTGATACCGGAGCTAGTGAATTCGCAAGATTTTCCAAAGGCAGCACTAGTGATACTCCTCAAAGGATTTGCTTTACATTGACCACATCTCTAACACATCCAGAACAATGGGTAACACTGCTGCTCTGTACTCTAGGAGCTCGGTGCTGGGTTTTAGGTCTTGTAATCAGATGGTCTGTTCAAAGTAGAAGAGGAAGTGAGGAGAGATAGTAGGAACAGCCGATGCTGGAGAATCTGAGATAACAAGGTGCAGAGCTGGCTGAACACAGCAGGCCAAGCAGCATCAGAGGAGCAGGAAAGCTGACGTTTCGGGCCTAGACCCTTCATCAGAAAAAGGGGAGGGGAAGGGGGTTCTGA